GCCAATTCTCCAGAGATTTTTTTTTTAGATACTAAATGCTAAAATAATTACATGTGCAAGGCATGTTTAAAAATAAATGATCAGAGCCAGAATCAAGCTCTACCTCTGACAGGACAAAGGGACAAGAATTAGTGGGTTCTGCTACCGTGGTCAACATGAAATCAACATAAGGAAAATAAAGCTTTATTTTGAAATGACTAATATTATATTGTTTATTTTTCTATTAAAACCATAAAAGAATGTTCATGTAATTTCTACTAAGGTCTAATTAAAAATGAAAACCAGTCTTGAAAAATATTTTCCATAGAAATAGCCTGTCTTTTATGAGCAATATTTCTCAAGTTTCCTATCTCTGATGAAGTAAGTCCATGTTAAGTGCCTACTGTATGCTGAGGGATTTTAAAAATCAAGGGAAATAATGGGTCTTGATTAAAAGTGGGCTAGTTTGGGCATATCTGACACTCTTTTATAATTAAGATATTTCACACTAAATCATTTGTTTGCTAAAACATAGAGAATAAAATATTTTACAAATGAATATTCTAAAGAAAGCATGGGAGAGTCAAAAGACAGCTGCTCTGAGGAAATGATTTCTAGTCCTCACTGGGCCACTGATGAGCTGCTCAGTCTGTTACATGTGGAAAAGGAGCCCCTGGCCTCCTGAAAGAAGTTTCAGCTCTTAAAATATGCCACAATCTGGTACACAAACACATATTTCTCCATTATGTATTTGTCTTTGATTGGGAACTCAGATACGGAGATCCACCTCTATTTAGGGGTTAATCACTTTATGTAGGAACAAGTATGGAAAGGGCAGAAATGACTTAAAACTGATTCTCTCTGGGGACAAGATTTCCAATGCAATCAATAAGATACAGCTGTCAATTTACACAAAAACTGAAAACAAGTTATAATTCATTCTCCTCTACAATACTGCTCTAGACAGATTCATATATTGGAAATTCAAGTTGGAATTACATGTTCAGAATACCTACTTTCCACTCATTTCTAAAATTTAAATCAGCAGTACATCAGGACCCAAGTTAAAAAAACACTCAATTTTATCTTCTGACACATGTAATGTGTCAGGTGGGCAATATAGGCATGCAATTCCACTCTGCATATACCATCATACTAAGAGCCTTTAAATAAACACATTCTTAACACCTGTTAAAAGATAATTTTAGCTATTCAACAGCAGGAACCATCTCCTCTACCCTTCAGTTCAACAACTCCATTGTTAATCTTTTCTAATGCCTCTCACATTTTTCCCACAACTGTGAACCTTTTTCCCACAACTACAACTCACTCAGAGCCTCACTTATCCCACCAAAGTATAGGGTATCTCAAAGCTCTTTAGAACACACTACAAAGGAAATGTTTGTGGTCCATGGATTTCATCCACTTCACTTAAATAGGACCGTCTGGTTGTGAGGAAAGGACCACTTTGACTCAGCGATTTCCACTCAGTCCGGACAGAGGAGGGCGCTGGCAGCAATGGAAGATTCTGCAGTTGATCGACACCCCTGCCTTCTGGCTGGCTCATCAGCCTGGACACACTTGTGGGAAACCTCCACTGTCAAGACGGAAAAGCAGAAGAGTGCCATTTGTATAACTGACTTTACTGACCAAGTAAGAAACAACCTAAAGCAGGGAATAACACAATAGGAAAAATAAACACCAAGTGTTTTTATTCCCACCAAGCTGTTTCCACAACACCAAAAGAAAAGTTGACCTTTGCTTACATTTAAGAGAATGCCTCTTTTTCACTCACTTCACTGAATAAGGAGCACTTCACAGTTTACAAACAATTTAGTACTGAGAGCATTGGGCAGATAAAATACACAGAAGTACAATAACTGGAAGGCCAAGTGCAATAATCCTTATGTTCAAGATTTCACTTCATTCATTTAACTGCCAGTTTAACCTCCCAATGAGTCAGCAAAGGCTTGGTATATATTGTGGGTGCCCTCAGTTGATCTGTCCAGCAATGGAGATGTTTAAAAATCAAACAAATTGGGTGAAATTGCTCATGCTATACTGCAACTGTAGGTAACTTAAACCTTCAAATAAGGGTAATGCAAACACAAGTGAAATATACTTTACATGGGTAAGGACACTTGGAATGTCCTTCAAGAAATTTTCTTTTGAAAATTTCAAGAGAAAATTTTTCACAAACCTCTTTATTTTTATAAGCATGTCACCGATGCAGTGAAATATTGTCAACTGAGACTCTGACGTAAAATGGCTTGATCTCAGATCTGCAGTCTGACTTGCCCTCTCTGTGACCTGGCGCAGGTCACCTCATGTTTCCCTCACTGTAAAGCAGGTGTAACACCCAGACTCACCTCACAGGCTGCTTATGAGGAATTAATTAGGTCCCAGATGTCACAGCTCAGTGAAAATTCCCACAATATAGATGCCAGCAAACATTAGCTATTTTTATTCTTGAAAAGACTTCCTTGTTCTGTGATACCACATTCTTGTTACTTCCTTCCTTCTGCAGCCCCTTCCTTCTCGCCTCGTAACTTGTCTTATTTTGCTTTCCCCAAACATCACATGTTGAGAGTTCTCAGACTATATAGGACTTAAATCCTCTTTTCATGCTGTTATTTACCAAGGGGGATCTAACTGACCCTCCATGATTTTAATGACCCCCCAGAGGACTGACTATCATTCCCATAGGTATATTTCTAATTCAATACACAATACATACCTGCTATAACTCACCTGTGCACTGGGATGTCTCAGAGGAACCTTGAATTATATAATTATGTCTAAAAGCTAAACTCACCACCTTTGTCACCCAAACGTAAATGGTGCCCACCTCAGTAAGTGGCTCCAAAACCCACCCAATTAGGGACCCAGAACCCTGGGACTCACGCCTGAAACACTCCATTCCTCACCTCCCAGAGCGTGACCCATTTCCTACCCTTTCCATTTTACCTCTGGAATACATGGCCTTTGTTTCCACAGTCACCATCACCTTCTGAATCTAAAGCCACTATCCTTTAGCCCCGAACTGCTCTTCCCACAAGCAGCCTTGCTTCCTCTCATTTGTACATAACATGCAACTAGAGAGATTTTTTTCCCCATGGATATAGGGTGTCTTTCCATTTATTTAGATCTTTAATTTTTTTCAACAGCATGTTGCAGTTCTCAATGTACAGATCTTTTTTTTTTTTTGAGAGGGCATCTCTCATATTTATTGATCAAATGGTTGTTAACAACAATAAAATTCTGTATAGGGGACTCAATGCTCAATGTACAACCATTAATCCACCCCAAGCCTAATTAGAGAGATATTTTTAAATGCACACAAAACTCCTCTACCTACAACTTTTGTTTGGCTCATCAGTGCCCTTAGAATAAGGAATAAAATACCATCAGCAATTAATAAAGCTGCACACATGTCCTCCACCCCATGGTCCTCCATATTCCAAACACATTTTCCCTCTAAAATGCCAATTTCCTCCCTCTTTCAAGGCCTTATTCATAGCCATTGTTTCCTCTTTGAGAATGTGTGGAAGGTTCTTCTCCTCCTTCCCCTGTATCCCCAATTTCTAGTTCTTTCTTTCTCATCATTTAGTTCTCTGCTTAACCAATACTTCCACCAGGCGGTGTTTCCTGCTTCTCCGGACAAGGTCATTTCCATTAATTATAACTCTCACAAAGCACCCTACACTTCTGCATCCTAATCTTCAGTACATTTGCAGTTACTTTGGTGTCTGTTTTCCACAAAAGATAATTAAGGGACACAAGTGCAGGGAGCATGTCTGTCTTGCTTACAGTTGTATCCCTTGACATTATCAAACACTCTGCTGGCCACAAGTGGGCCTGTCATGTTACTGAAAAATGTTTGCTGAATTAACACAGTAATGGTCTGGGATATAGTGCTTGACTTGATAATTGCTTATAATTGGTGGGAAAATCCATATAAAACTAATTCAAGGCAGACTGTGACAGATTTTTACAGGAAACTAGCATAAGGACTACTTGAAATCAATTCTGGAAGGAGAACAGGTATATGAGGAAAGGCTTGTGTAAGGAAGGCTTCATTCTGGTGCTGGTGTATGAAATAAGCCATGGAGAGCTAGCAAGACTTCAAGTGACAGGAAAGAAATATTCCTGGGAGAGAGAAAAGTCTGGGCAAAGCTGTGGACAGAGTTAGGGTATAAACAGAGACTGTCTGATGAGGAAGGAAAGATTTCATCATTAGAGAATGACAATCCAATATGGCAAAATGGGCTAACAGATGGATGGGGGTGTGGGGACCGACAGGTAGGCTATTTCAATATATTGCATAGAAGGGAAGGAAGAGAAATAATTATGCAGGAGGATGGATACCACTACTGAATGAGGAAGGGGTTTATCACTGATCAAATGGAAAACCAAAACAGAAGGAGGATGTGGGAAGTTAAGGGAGATAATGAGCTGTTTTGGAAACCCTAATTTTTATGCCCTTACATGATACTGAGCAGGCAGTTAAAATGAGCATCTAAGAAAGAGAATGCAAGTAAATTTCAGAAGTTATTAAGCTCAAGAAAATTTTACTTGGTTCATATTCAGTTAAACATTAATGCAAAGGTTTGACAAATGTGTCAAACATTTTTCCACATATATTTATTAATGATGAAAAACTACGAAGAAAAAAGTTGTTTTATATTTACCGCCTGAGTTTTCAATATACTATGTGTCTAATTTTTCTTAGTTGTTAAGAATAAAGTTCCTCATAATTTTACCGTAACATCACCCCCTTTAAGATAGCTAATTTCCTACAATTGTTGAATGGAAGAAACTCACAACATTTTTCTCTATTTAGTAGAATTATCTTCTTTGTATAAAAGAATTCTAGTTTTTGTAATAGGTCCCGTGCAAAAGTTAAAACTGATGTACAGAATTTTTTAAAAGGTCATTCTAATTTCAAAAATGTTAACATCTGAAATTATGTCATCTTTAACTATCAGGAGAATTTCTGGAAAATAAAATGCAACACTTACTTTTGCTGCACCTATTTGTTCTTTGCGAAATTTCTCAAGTGGCGCAATTAATACATCATTAGCGTTTTGAATCTGAAATTAAAAATGCAAATACATTAAACTATAATTTCACACAAACAAAACTGATAAAAGATGGCATTTTTATTCAGCGTATTTAACAAACAGCTTTTGTTTTCTTGTTGACTTCTTCTACAAATGAAATAAAAATACCTTGAATACTATAAGGTCTTTTTCTACATTATAATTAAGTAGTTTTCACAAATTATTTCTCTTGATCCTAACAATAATGTAAATAATGTGAAAACAAGTATATGTAAGATCTTAGCTTAAATATTTTAATTTCATATTCTAAGATTTAACTAAGAAATAGCAAGTCAGATACCAAATTTACAAATGTTTTTAATTATACTGGTTTAATATAGCCAGTTAAAGCATCATCTAAAAATTGAACCATATAAAGCTCTTCCATTTTGCCACTAGAATGTTGTAATTCTACAGCTGCAAAATAAGACTCATTTTTTTTTCCTATTTCATTAGATTCCTCACACTTGGGATTTGCCTGAATGTTCTCATATTTCCAGCCCTACTAAAAAGGCATCTGATTTCACTTCAATGAACAGTATTTTAGGGCGAAACTGCAAACTGGGCTTTACTTGAACTTTAAACAGATAAATCTTTTAATATTGATCTGTAAGAATACCGTGAAGGGGGGGTTAAGTATGGGGGGCCCAGGACTGGATGCAAGGAGACAGACATTTCTAAGATAACATTATGCTGGAAGAAAATCTTTAATTAAAAAAAGAAGAAAAAGAAAAAACCCTTAGAAAGCATTAAAATTAAATGTAAGATTTGAAATGTTCTCACCACAAAAAGAAATAATGTGACAGGATGAAAGTGTTAACTAATGCATTGGTGATAATCATTTTGCACTACATAAATATGTCAAATTTACATGCTGTATACTTTAAACTCACACAATGTTATATGTCAATTACATATCTGAGGGGGAAAATGTAGGCCTGGTTAAAAAAATGTATTATTTATTCTATCATTTTGATAATAAAAATTATGTAATCAGCATATGTTAAGAGGAAGAAAACCTATTTTTAAAATATATTACTATTTTAAAATAGGTTAAAGGGTATATTATTTTTACAATTTTTCTGTAAGTCTGAAATTATATCGAAATTTTAAAATTTCAATAGAAAGGTTTTACTTTGATTTTCATTTAATTCTCACTGAATTGGTTATTCTCTAGTCAAGGTTTATTTCTTAAATTTAATAATCTAATATACATAAAAATAAAAACTAAAGTGTTAATGCCTTCCATGACTCTGTTGTTCTTCAACTTGTAGAAAAATGAGATGACAGATCCTGAAAAAAGGGCCTAAAATCCTGTGCTGTGAAAACACAACAGAGTAGATCAATACTCAAAATCCTATGAGGGCCTACTGTAGACACCACTGACATCCATCACCTAATTCCCATTTGTGAGCTCAGACAGGCATCCCTCCAGATACACTGTGCAGGCGTCCCTGCTTGAGAGAGATGATTGCAAACAGCAGGAAAGTAGTTCTCTTTGAGTTCTTACTCTCTAAATTCTCTCTGTCCTCTCAAAACCCCAAATACATAGAAACATGGACAGGCAAATGCACACACATATACCTATCCAGATATTACAGAGGAAATAAATAGCTGATTCTGCCTTTGAAGTTAAGTTTGCATGGGGGAAAACATTGTCTTGAACACTTCAGTGTACTTTGGGAAAATACCAACAATAAATGCTAACATTTACTGGATGTTTACTTATTGCTGGAAACAAGTATAATCTAATGTATTCAGAGTTCATTGTTAGTTAATGAACTTAAAGAGGGACGCATTTCCAAAGTGGTGAAAGCTGCCACCCCAGTGAGGCCGGGTAAGATGACACGCAGTGCAGCACCTCAGTACAGGTACTGAACATCAAGGGGACTTGGATTTAAATCGGGTTCTGCTGCTAATGAGCTGCTATTTAACCATTCTGAGCATCAGCTGCATCATCTACCCAACAACTTGGTTCTAAGGACTAAGATAATGAATGTAACACAGTTCAGTGCCTTTCACACACTAAGTGCTCAAAATTTATCAATTTTAATATATCCAAATAAACAGATAATGAATCTCATTCTGTATTTACTGACTTAATACACTTCTACATCGGAATCTACTGTATTATTTTGCTTCTGGTTGAAGTGTATCTGTGTGTACATTGTGAGGAGGTATTGTCCCATGAAAGTCCTAAGAGATAGGATGGCCGGGTTTCTCCCACATCCAATCACTAGGTGTCTGTATGTGTGTCAAGCACATTGCTGCTATTTGTAAATTTAAAGGATATGCTAAACCTTCCAGAAAGCCAATGTCTTCTTGAGAAGAGGGGGAAAATGTGTTCATTCAATAAGATTTGATGCTCATAAAGCACTGCAAAAATTTTTGGAAAATTTGAGAGCCTAAACTGATTACATTGAGAATACATTGGGATTCTGACAACAGTAAAGCTCCATAAGAACTAAATAAGTATTTGGATAGTGGGTGTGAACTGGATGCACCAAAGAGAATAAAGATTCTAGGAGCACGGACAGCCATGAATAAAGGCAAGGGGATAGAGCTAAGCATGGCATGTGAGACAGGAGAGTGCAGTGTAGAAAAAGGAATCATTTATTAAGTACTCATTAAGAGTCTATCATGATTGTGAGCACATTCACCAAGTTACAGGCCACAGTTAATTTTTTTTAAATGGGAAGAGAAGAATGAATGTGGTGTATGTTGAACGGTTCTGGCACATAGCAGGCTCTGCAGAAGTGGTATGTTACTGTTAACTAGTAAGAACATTATCTAACTGGAGAAAAGAGGGCACATTATTAATTATTAGTGGGACACTCAGTTGTATAAGGAAAAGATACCCATAATCTAGGCAAAGCAGCCTGAACAGGGAATCATTGCTGGCTTCTAAACACAGCGTTAACATTGTGAAAACTTGTTGTAGGATGCCAGCAATATGCAGGCTATTTTGCTAATGGTGAGATGAAGATAAGATATGTGCCAGCTGAATGAGAGAGAAACACAGTTTGACGTGGTAGTGGACTAGCTCAGGCACCTGTAGTGGTGACAGACGGGCAGCAGCGCATTACAGAGGCAGTTTTTTGGGGGAAATGCAACAGGACCCAGAGAGAGAAGAATTAAACGTGCATGTAAGATTTCTGCCTCAGGCACTGAGACTTTGGCATCCCATTAAGAATGAAGGTGAATGAGGTAGGGGGCAGGTTTGGTGGAGAAGGAATAAAGACAGGGTATCTCACTTTGGACCTATAGCCCTGAATGCCAAGGGAAGACTCCAAGGAACAGTTTGGCAAACTGCCCCACCTC